CTGTACATCGAGCAGCATACCGGGCATAGATTATTTGTGCAGGGGAGTAGCTCCCACACAATTTTGAGCATGGCCAGGTCTGCACCTGGCATGCAATTAGTGTTGGATGTGGTTGTGTGGCGCCCGCAGGGCGATTTTGGGCTTGGCATCAAATAGCTGAGTGAAGTACTGGTGGTTTAAACTTTAAACCACCAGTTTGAGCCCCCTCCACTGAAAATTCCAGCGGTATACAAGGAGGCCTTTCAATGTACTGGCGTGGCGAGGACCAGTTCAATTCATTCAGGCACAAAAAAAAAACAAAAAAAACGAAGGGTTCGGCAATTTAGGTTTCGCCGTATGGACGGGTCACACCCAATGGACGAGGATTTGTCTGCCTCAACTGACCAGTAGGGGAGGCAGCATGGGGGTACACCTCTTGTCGCCTTGCAGCCAAAAAAACTCTCTCCGGCATCTGACGCTTATAATATCCAGTCGCCTTGCAGCTAAGAAGACTCTCTGAGCCCGTTTCGCAGCACGTGATGCTCCCCACTAATAGATTGGAGCCTTTTGTTATAAAAAAAAAAAAAAAAAAAAAAAAGCAAAGACACTCGCAGGCTTGTGATGCCCATATCAAGTCGTACACCTCACGTGGCGCTTAAAGGTTCCAAAGTGAAGTTCTTGTTCCAGTATTTGATGTGCTCAGAGGACCAGGTACAGGCAAGTGGAGGTTATGACCGTGGTGGTTAAACCACCAGTATGTTTCCCTGCTTGAAAAACAAATATGCCCACCACGGGCCGCCGGTTAACACGGGAGGCGGGCAGGCTTGGGACTACCGGTGCGAAATGGCTGGCGCCAGCCAAAACCAGGCCCATGCCGGTTCGTTTTTTTTTGGCGCGCAGGGCAGTTATAGGCTCGGCATAGATAGCTGAGAAAGGTACTGGTGGTTTAAACCACCAGTACTTGCCCCAGCTAATAATGGCAGCTATCGATGCCGAGCCTGGAATGCCCCTGCACGCCAATTTTTGCTGAAGCGCCGGGGTACTGTTTCAATTTTTTTTGGCTGCGCTGCCAGCCATTGTGGTCCGGTACGGCGACGTGGCCGATGGCTGGGCCAAGTACTGGTGGTTTAACACGGAAGTTCAGCGGGGAATCGAAATGGCTGGCGGCACCAGCCAGATACATCTGTGTTGGTTCATTTTTCTCTGGTGCGCAGGGCGAATCGAGGCCGGCGGACGGTGTATGCGAAAGGTACTAATAAGGTGAATTGCACTTTGTGTGACCAGCCCACTGTATTCTTTAGTAGAAGGCAAAAGAATAGTGCACCGTTTGAGCTGAACACTCAGTTGGCTTGTGCTCCACTGACTTACTTTCATGATTTTCCCTGGAGGAAATCGGGGTCTACAGCAAATGAGAATGGATTTTTTCCCCCGGATCACTGGGCGTGGAATTTGGAAGAGATGGGTACAGGTGGTCGATCTAGGCAGCATTGCTAGTTCCCCGAACTTAACAGCCGAATCTCCCTACCCTTCAGCCAAGGGTTTCCATGGGGGGTTTGGTGCAAAATGGGCACTTTTCAGCCATTGGATCCAGTGTTGTCCTTGAGATGACGGCAGGGGTGCAATTGCTTGTACTAAAGAGCCGCGGACGTCATGAGGGGCTGTGGATCCCCATGAATTATTCGGGGAGAGGCGGGCCACTTAATTGAAGATACTACGGTAGGGAAATCATTTGCCGAGTCGAGTTCATGGAGAACAAGCCTCAGTTCCCTCGTGTGAAGAGATTTGGGTCGTGGTCGCGCTACCTCATTGGCCTTTATTCCAATGCAAATATCCAGGAGTCCAGGACCTGTTCTATACTCTCTCCTCCAGTCCTGTAGTTTCTCTCTAGGACTGCATCTATATATTAGGTGGAAAAAGTGAGAGTTAGAGTCCTGTTGGGATTATGTTAATAACACTGTCAAATTTGTTTTAATATGAGGTCTCCATTCTATGGGCCTTGCCGCACACGGCGCACAGCACTCAACATGAGCCGAAAACAAATTGGAAATCCGCGAGCCCCATGGGCGCAAATTGTCGATAAAAGGTTGTTTCCACCAAACTGCCTTGCAAAGAAGTATTTGCCGTCAAAAATGAATGTCGTACTCGCTGGAATACTTTTTTGCATGCAAAGAGCTCTTTCTTTCCTTGGGATGGACATGCAGCAGTCGCGATTCGGGCTGCTCATTCCTCTCTGAGCTTCAAAGGAACACCCCCGAAATTTGTGATTATGCAGGCACTGCCAGGGAATAATCCGACGAACACGAATTCAAATGTGAAAACGCGGTGTTTCCCGGACACATCATTAATCTTTTTCTTTTGTGTGGAGGTATCATCACTGCCGTGCGGCGAACCCAAAACAATCATTTCCTGCATCACTGCCGTGCGGCGAACCCAAAACAATCATTTCCTGCGCAAAACTTTGTTTTGTGTGCGGTGCGGCGAAGCCCTATATTATGAATGAGAATTCCATTCTTATAATGTACCCGGATAGAGTCCCGTAAGGTTTGTACAAGCCCTTTTCACATCACGGTGATTGGTTTTCATGGTGGTGTTTATTATTGTACACTTGGTTCCCTTCCGCTTGAGACACTCTAACCGAGACCGAGACTGGGTTTGTGGTCGCATTCCGCTTGCCACATAGGATGGTTGGTAAATGATGGTGGAGTGTTGACTTCGCCGATTAATCTGGCGCTCTCGGGATGGCCGTTAGGAGTACAGAAGCTTGAGGGTAATTAAACCATTTTTTCTCCTTCCACTGTATTCAACCCAAGCCCATGGCATTGGCACCACTGGATCCAGAAAAAAAAAATAATAATAATAAAGAAACAACGAGTGGCCGCCCGATTTTTGCCAATTACAAACTTTCAACCGGCAGGTAGAATTGCAAAGGTACCTGTTTTTTTTGCAGCTTCGAGCTGCTCTCAGCCCGAACTTGCAGTGTACTGTTATTCCTGCGAATTTGAAACTCCACACCGCACCTGGGTGTAGTTGTTTCAAAAGAAAAAAAAAAACACGGGGCGATGGCCTTGAGATATGGTAGTCGAACTGACCTGCCCGAGGAAATTCAGTAGATTTCATTCATCGAGTTCCATCTGGACTCGAACTCAGGTCTATACGTCAACAGTCCATGGGTTTCCCGGCTGGGCTAGGACCGGTCTGTTGATCTTTTCTACGGGAGGGCTGAGAAACAAACACACAGGGAAAGCCTGAGGGAAGAAAATGCAGAGAACAAGGGTGTATCATCACATTTTTCTTCCGCATTCTTGTTGATTGATTCAGATTGAAGACCCACATTTGACCCAGTTCAGCGCTGGCAACCCCCAACTAGCCTTGGCCTATCCCTACCCAACATGCTGGTTATTGGAAGGCCACACTTAGGGCATGGGTGGAAAGATGAATGATGCATTTGTCCTCGTGCGCAGCCATTGGACATGGTTGCTGCAATTTTCATGCATCTGTGTGCCTATGCGTGTAGTGAAAGAGAGAGGGGAGATGCAGAGAGAGGGAGAGAAAAGGAGTGAGGGATAGAAGACAAGGGCAAGGAGGAAAGGAGAGGTGGAGGGAAAGAGAGAGAAAGAGAGAGAAGACATACAGGCGAGATAGGTTTATGTGTATGTGTGTGTCCCTATATATGTAGTGAACAGAGAGAGGAGATGTAGGGAGAGGAGGATAGTGGAGATTTGAGGGCAAAGAAGAGAAGGGATGTGGGGGGCAAGAGAGAACAAGATGTGTGTGTGTGAGAGAGAGAGAAAGAGGGAGAAGAAGGGAGATCCTGGGGGCAGGAGAAAAGAACGTGTGTGCGTGTGTGTGTGTGTG